AAATTTGAGTGGCATTGCGCATACGCCGCGTTAGCACTGGCTCCACTCGACGCCTATGAGTGTGTGTCTACATTTGTATGCGTGTGTGCTTGTGTGTGTCAAAATCAGCAGCACATTGGGGCCATGTTGGCGCCTGCTGTGGACCGTCATCGCCATCGTCATCATCACCGTCGTCGTCATCGTCGTCATCGTTGTCGTCTCAAGCGCAAGCGTTGCGACCTCTCTTGGCTGATATGCCAACAAAGTTACAAAGCCGCCGTCGGTACCAAGCACCGCCACAACCACCACCCGCTAACAGCCAACAACCGCTGCGGTTTTGAGCGTCGAAATAGCAGAATTTTGATTTTACGACCTTGTTGCCGTCATTAACGTTATTTTATGATGACGCTGATACGACCGCGAAATATTGCGGCGCAGCTTCCAGTCAGCCAGAACATGGACTTGCACTGGCTTAGCGAGCGGGTAAGTGCGAGAGGGCAGGAGCGGGCGACCCCAACGGACGCGCTCGTGTTATTATGGTTGGCCTTTATATTTGATTTTTTTGTTCCTTCTTTCGACATTGAAGTAAAAAACCAATAAATGTTAATGAAATACAAAAGACAAAGTTTAGCGAGCATGCGTATGGATGTGTGGATGTGTGGGTGTGTGGGTGTGTAGGTGTGTGTATTGGTGTGTGTCGCTGGCATCGAACATAAGCTGATAATATTATTGCGCTATTAATGGGCTCAGGTTTATGGGAGTTTTAATCGCTTTTGTTACAGTTGAGCTCAATAAAAGGCGATGCTTTCTTCTTGTTGCTGTTGACGTTGCTGTGAAATAAAACCTAAAGTCGAAACAATAACTTGACAATAAAGAACGAGAGAGAGCGAAATAAAATGAGCCATATACTCGTAGATACAGTTGTATGTGTGTGTGTGTGTGTGTGTGGTGTGTGCGTGCGAGTGTCTGCACGTATGACTAAGCAGTAGGCAAGTTGCAAGTTTGCAAGTTGCCGCAAATGACAAAACTAATTGCGAATCCAAAATCTTACGCCCAAAAGATGTGTGTGTGTGTGTGTGTGTGTGTGTATGAGAGAGAGTGAGCATGTATGCGTGTATGTGCGTCCAAAGCAGAAAAGCAATTTAGCAAATTCTTTGGCATTTGCCAAATGGCTCATAGTCTGGAACTCCGAGTCCCGCACATTGCACACGCCTTTGCAAAATCAATTTTAATGATACGGCTACGCAGGAGCAACAAATACAACAGAAGCATGAGGGTGCTAGGAATTGGAATGAGGACGAAGGCGACGTTGCGCTAAATTTAGCCAAAGCTTAGAAGAAAGCAAAGCTCTAACGGAAATGGCACGTCTATAAAATGCTTGGCAGCCACGGGCAACATATGCAAGGAAGGCAGCTGCTGCAGCTGCATCCGCATCCGCAGTGGCTATCGTTAAAGTGGAAATTGAAAAATATAGACATTTAACAGCGATGACCGAATAACAAAACAATTGCACGCAGCAAAATGGCTTGGAAAACGTCAAAAATGCTACAGCTCTGCAAAGATAATTTTTGTATTTGAAGATTGGTATTCAATTTTAATTTTCTAAATAGCTACGTAAATACTCGTCTGTACCTAACATGCAGGAAAATACCTTGGACAAGTAAAAATGATGCGTAAAAATGTATTTTAGTAAAGAAAAGCCTTTGCAAAAGTTTTCAGGTGGATGCAGCTGCAACTGCATCGCAAAATCGAATTAAGCCTGAATGCATGGACAATTGGGAATGTGGCAATGCAGGTTTTATGAAATCCTGTTTAATTGCAGTGTTTAAAAAGGAAACAATTAAATACTAGTATAAATTTGCAGTTCAAGTTCTAATTTGTGTAAAAAAAACTCACAAATGGGTAATATTCATGCTCAGTACCAGAGACGGTATAAAACGATATTTCCGATATTCTTTATATAATGAGAAGAGTTTGAATCAAATATATAATCTTACAAGCTAATCTAGTTTTATGAAATTCGACTTACACAATTCATACTGTACCTATTTTTATTGTGGCTTGCGTTGCCCGAAACCAACAATAATAACAACAGCAACAACAGTAAGAGAAGCCAAACAAAAATTGCAATGAAGAGGCAAAAGATGCAGCGCCTCCTCCACTTGCCTCCTTTTCTAGCACCTTTCCTTCACCTCCTTCCCAACACCTCATCCTTCCCAAACACTTTATCCGTGAGCTGTGCGAGCACCGTTCGTGTCGCAATTAACGGTCGCGGAAATTCCTGACAGTCAGCGAACCAGGAGCGCGTTAGCGCGTAAAGAGCAAGAAAGGAAGTCGGCATTTTGATGGGTGCTTGTGTGAGTGTGTGTCTGTGTATGTACAGGAGTAGTGTAGGTGGAAGTGCGAAGCGGGTTGAATAGCAACAAAAGCTTTAAAGCAATATAAACTGCATGCGACCTTCTATACACTTTGCTCGAACTGTACGTCTTGCCGGCTTTCTTGTTGCATGCCCCAGCGCCACATTTATTGTGCGCTTTGCAGTCGCTCCTTTGTGTGTTGCACAAACACACATACACATACAGATCTACACACATTTCCCTTGCATATGCAAGAACAGAGCCGGCACTTAGTTTTTTTTTTTTTTTTTTGTGACAAATGCGGCCTACTTGGCGTATAAGCAATATTACGTGCTCTTGTCGTTTCATGTGCTTTGGGGCAGCTAACATATGCCACACACACAAACACTCATATTAATACTCGTAGACTTGCAACACCACACAAAAACAATTGCTGTCATTACAGTTTGTAATTTGGTAATCGGCCATACGAATCTGCATAATGGCAATTGGAAATGTTGGCGCACCAAAAAATGAGTGTGTCTGTGTACGAGTTCGGCAAGTTAGGTAAACATGGCAAGAAAAGTTGCCAACTTTTAATTGAAGTGAAAACGACGATAACGACAGCATTGTGTGCAAAGCTTTGTAGAAGTACAACTGAATGTGCTAGAGTGCGGGCAAACCGTTGTGTGCGCCAACCCGCTGGGAAGAAGCGCACAAAACCCCCACATCGACATTCCATTGGGGGTCCGCTGACATGCACACACATCCTTGTATACTTTGTCTCAACCTCACTCACATATTCGCATATATTTCGCTAGTCCATGCAAAGAAAAAACAGTTGCGGAATTGCTTTTTAAACCCCCAAACCGACAGCCAACATATACACTCTCATCTGTACATTAAAAAAGGAAAAAAGCTCTGGGAATTTAAGCCTTTAAAACGCAAAACTTTTATGCCAACAGACGAATGATGGCGGCTCCAGCGGCTCTGCAAACTGAAGAGTTTTACCATTCGTTGTATTTACCATTGTTACCACCGCTTAACAGTGGGATAATTATACATTCCAACAGGACAAAAATCAAATTAATGTTGCACAATTTAAGTTGATCTTGATGAACCAACCAATTTGCTTAAGTTAATCCTTTATTTTGCATTAGAAAGTATTTTTCGTTTTCGACATGCTTAAATCATTTACGAATCAATTTCATATTTAAAATTTGGATAGAAATTACCCAAGTGCCTTTTGATAGAATAGCTTAAACAGTTTTTAAAAATATTTTGGGTTATCATTATTGGAAAATAATATTACCAATATGAATAGCAAAAAATAAAATAAAAAACTTCAGGTGCGATTTTCACAGTTTTTAATGTTTTTCTTAAGTGTGAATAATATAAAAAGTTAGATGTGTCCAATTCCAAGAGATTTAACCAGCAACTGCAATATAGATATATCATGTAAAATTAACTGAAACACAAAGTAAAGGTTTTCAATAGATTATATTTCCAAAGCTAGGGATACTAAAATCTCTTCGTAAGTTTATACTTTAAAGCAAAAATAAAATTAGGAACAATAATGTGTCTAATGAGTGAAAACTCAAAATATGAATATGATAAAATACTGACAGCAAAGTCAAAACGGAGATTGTTCAATTATTAAAAAATTGCTTTCTTCAGCCGTAATTAGAAAGTAGTAAAGTATTATATTTCGAAGTAACTAAAATTTGAGGTCTTGGTGTGCTTAGTTCAGACACTGTGAACCACTTTCTATTATGGATGCCCTGCTGACTACCCGAATTATTCGCTGACTGACTTCTCGTTTAGTTTTCCTGCGTGTGTGTGTGTGTGTGTGTGTGTGAGTGTGTAGAATATATGTTTGCATGTATTTTTCAAGAGTTGTGTGCTTATTGGATTTGCCAGCGCTCTGATCTGGAGTTGGTGAAGTTGCATGACAAAGTCAAAGTTGGCATTGCATGCACGATTATTTCAGCGAGCACCTGTTGCCATTCTGATGTGGACACACACATTGTTTCTAAGCTCTTTGCCATTGTTGTTGCTGCTGTTGTTGTGCGACTGGGACAATGCAAGCACATTAACATCGAGTAAGGCTATGGCAACATAGTCTGCTCTATCGCTTTATCTCGATAGAGCTCGTCAAGCTTCCAGACTGAAGCTCATAAACATGCGACAAAATGCGGCCTTGATGCGCGACTGTGTTGGAATGAGAATCTGTCTATGTATGTAAGTGTGCGTGTGTGTGTGTGCGCTTGTTTGCACTATGTTGGCTCATGCGGCGACCATGTATCGTGCCTCAATACAAGCAAATATGTGGCAGCCGGCTGCCAGACAGGCTGAAGCATCTCGCTCTAGAGTGCGCCACTTCTGACTATGCACCCAAACGAAAACAGAAACAGAAGACCCCACGCACAGATGGCAATGCCAACGACTGCCATATTGGGGGCTTTGATTTATTGATTTTAGTGCTGACATACGGCATACGAAATGAGACAATATTTGCTTGAACAGAGCACAAATGGCAAATGGGAAACGAACCCATCGCACATGTGTGCCGCCGAGCTTCCATTAGCCAACTAGCAACCTAATAAGCCGCATTTAAAATATGGCAGAAACGAATTGTGCACAAGTTCAATTAAATCAAATAAAAAACCAAAACATATTTCTTACCCGCACAACTTTGGCGCCAGATCTACACGAACAACGAGGCGTGGAGGACGGCTGCACAGTAAACGAGGCACGCAGTCTGCAAGAGATGGAAGACAAATTAAATTACATTTAAAGCGCAGTTTAAAAATTGGCCAGCTTCTATGACAGTAGAAAACGAGGAGCGAAAATCAATGCAGGACGAAATGAAACCAATACCCACACCAAAAAAGGAACTGTAAAAGCAAAGCCGCCAAAGTGTGAGAAAGCGGTAAAAGCGTATGAAATAAAAATCAAAAGAAAAGAAAACAGCGTAAACTGTGCATAAAAGAAATGAAACTTATGTGTGTGTGTGTGGCTGTTTTGTGTGCGCTGGTGTGAGAAATCATGGCGTTTGGACTGAGCAGGCCAAGGAGATAAAAGCGCAAAATTAAATTGGACATTTATCAAGAGATTTTTATTGAGGCCTCAAGTGCCGGCAAGGACAAACACAGACAATCACAAGCTTTCTCTCTCTCACACACAAATAAACAAACAAACAAATACACACACACACACACACGTATTTACATTATAAACACCCACGGACACAGACAAAGTCGCAGTCAAGTGGTTGACAACAAATGCGACCAATTATCGTTTTGAGTGAAAAGTTTTATTGCGACGACATGACGCCTTCGAGTAGACTATACATGTTTAAAGAGTACAGTGCATAACAAATATGTGCAAATTTAACATTACAATCAATAAAATGGTTTCTAAATTTAAAGAAGAGAGAACGCTACAGTCGAGCAAGCCCGACAGTGTAATACCCTGTACCCAGGTGAACTTCCGTCACTGAGTTATATGAGCCCATAGCAGTAGCAAAAAGAGGAAGAACAAGTTTGGTGGGGTTGTACTGGCGAGAATTTGTTTCGCTAATAACTTTTCTTAGAATTGACCGAATTAAATAAAACAAATTAAACAACAGTAGATAATTATATACAAATTATGTGTGCATAGTTTGGTTTAGGTAGCATTTGAAATGTGGACGCTATTTACGAAATTCTGTAGCGGGGGAAGGGGGGGAAAATTAAAAAAAAAAAAAAAATAAACTCATCCTTTCTCGGATCTAGGAGAATCTGGATGCCAACTTTGGTTATTCTAGCTTTTATAGTTTCTGAGATCCTTGCGTTCATCAAGACGGACGGACAGACGGTCGGACAGACGGACGGACATGTCTAGATCGATGTCTCTCGTCATGCTGATTCAGAATATATATACTTTATGGGGTCGGAGATGCTTCCTTCTGCATTTTACATACTTTGCACAAACCTAATATACCCTTTTTAGCCTACGGGTACAGGGTATAAAAATTAAATATCACACATCCTTAACCAAGGTATCGCCAATTGGATATGAACCCACCTTTAGTATGTTCTTCTCAAACTAAATTATTTATTCAGTCTGCATTCAATTTTATTTCGAAAAAAAGAACTTGCAACAAAGAAGAAATAGTTGCTGAGCAATACAGTTCTATGTATTAATTTTTACGACAGGGATATATGTATGCATCGATAATACGAAAGTAAATATACTTGTTAGGTATTCGATACCTTGTTAAGTATTATTGTAAAAGTGTCACCTGGTCACATTGATCTTGTGCCCTTTAGCTACACATTTTGAATTGTAACACATTCTGGAAATATACGCGGCCTGATACACAACAGAATTGGCGACGAGGAAAATAAAAGTTAGGAAAATAAAGGTTAAGAAAATAAAAGTTAAAGAAGAACAAATAAATGACCAGCATGACTACAGCAGCACCTATAACTCCACAATTTTATCACATGATAAGCATACCCGAGTTTGTGCCAAACAGTGAAACGTTTGCAATTTGGAAAGAAAAATTTGAAATACACATGTGCGAGCAAAGTGTGAGTGAAGAAAATGCAAAAAAATCAACGTTGTTGAAATCAATTGGAACAGGCCCGTATGGTGTATTACACAGTTTATGCAGTCCAGATTCACCTGTATCAAAGTCATACAAGGAAATTTGCGAAATACTTTCAACGCACTACACACCACCTACACTTGTTTTTCGAGAACGAAAAAAGTTTCATATGGCAGTCAAAGGCGAAAATGAGACAATTGCAGAATGGTATGCCCGTTTAAAACAGTTGGCATGTAGCTGTAAATTTGGTGTCTATTTGGAAGCATTCGTACTTAACCAATTTGTGATGAGTCTTCCTAATGCAATATTTGAACGCATGTGCGAAGAAGATGAACGTCTATCTCTTTCTGACGCACTAAGAAAGGCAATGATAATGGAGACCAAAGATTTTGCAAAGAGGACAGGAGAGAACATCAGTTACGTGAACAGAAGCAGCGCAAATCAAAGAAAAAAGCGAAACTGCAACAATAGAAACAACGGCAGTTATGACACTGGAAGTTTCAAGGGCAACGGAAGATCACATGGGATGAACTTCAAAAGCAGTAGCAGCGACGGTAGTGACGGCGACGCAGGCAGAGGCAAAAAGCAGCAGAAATTCTGTGTGCACTGTGGTTGGAAAAATCATCGATCTGAAGAGTGCAAGTACAAACATCTAAATTGTCACACTTGTGGGAAGAAGGGTCATTTGGCGAGCGTATGTAATTCAAAACGAATAAATTGCGTATCGAATTTACAATCTGAAGATCCTATGTTAGATACTAAGCTAAATGAATTTAATTTTTCTGTATTTAGCGTGGCACCAACTTCTTCTGGTGAGGTTTACGTGTTACCGGTTACAATTGATGGTTGTAACATGAACGTCACTTGCGATACTGGAGCATCTTGTACAATTATTCCATATTCAGTTTATGAGAAGGCAGTGATGAAGAAGCCGCTCAGAGAATGTAATGTTCCGTACATGGACTACAATGGTCGTCTTATTGAAATTGTCGGTGAGTACGATGCAACAATTGAATATCGAGGCATAAGAAAAGAAATGGTTATAGTAGTTGCGAAAACAATGAGTCCAGCTTTACTTGGTAGAACATTTTTGAGATCGTTTAATTTTGAATTAGTTCAAGTTAACAATGTTAGCGAAAGTGAACAACTCTCTGTACTTACAAAACAAATAAAAAGTGAATTTGCAGATGTGTTTAGACCCGAATTAGGTTCTTTTAATGGGAGCAAAATTATGTTACAAATAGCGGAAAACACCAAGCCAATATTTTTCAAGCCTAGGCCGCTACCATTAGCATGGAAAGACCGCGTTGAACAAAAATTACGCGCTTTGATTGAGTTAGGAGTTTTAGAACAAGTTGATAGTTCTGATTGGGGAACCCCATTGGTTCCGATTCTTAAGCCAGATGGTGATATAAGAATTTGTGGAGACTACAAAGTTTCCGTAAATAGATCATTAGTCGATGTACGATATCCGTTACCACGAATTGATGATATTTTTGCAGCACTTCAAGGAGGCGTATTATACACTAAACTTGATTTAAGCAATGCTTATAACCAGTTGCACCTAGATGAGCAATCTCAGTTGTTGTGCACATGGAGCACACATATTGGACTTTTAAAAGTCAAACGATTACCTTTTGGTATAAAAACAGCAGCAGCAATATTCCAAAAGACAATGGAATGTTTATTCCAAGGAATAAAAGGAGTCGTAGTTTATCAGGACGACATTACAGTAACAGGAAGCAATCTTCAAGAACACATTTCAAATTTAAAAACAGTTCTTAGCAAGCTGAAATCAGCCGGACTAACTTTAAATGCAAACAAATGTGAATTTTTCAAATCTAAAATTCGTTACTTAGGGTTCTCAATAGACAGGTACGGATTAAGCAAAAATGTTGATAGAGTTTCCAGCGTTTTACTAGCACCCACACCTAAAAATGTATCTGAATTACGAGCATTCATTGGAATGGTGAATTATTATTCAAAGTTTGTTAAAAACTTCGCACAGATAATGAGTCCATTATATGTACTTTTGCAGAAAGATTCAAAATTTGTTTGGACAGTTGAATGTAACAAAGCATATGAGAGAATTAAAAGTGAGATAACTTCAGAACAAGTCTTAGTGCATTATGACGCAAACTTGCCTATTGTCTTAACGACTGATGCCAGTAGTAATGCCGTATCTGGCGTACTAGCACATAGATTTGCTGATGGTCTTAAACCGATAGCATTTGTTTCCAGAGCCTTATCAAAAAGTGAAATTAATTATAGCACACTGGATAAGGAAGCTCTCGCGATTGTATATAGTGTAATGAAGTTGAAACAATACCTTCTAGGGATCAAGTTCATCTTGAGAACTGATCATAAGCCCCTCTTGGGAATATTTGGAGATAAAAAAGGATTGCCACTTATGGCGTCTGCACGTTTGCAGAGGTGGGCTTTAATATTGTCAGGATTTCAGTACACAGTTGAACACATAAAGGGTTCATTAAACGAGGCTGACGGACTTTCAAGGATGCCTCAGTTATACAAATCAAACGAAGATGAGGAATACAATTATATTAACTTCATTCAATCTGATATACCGTTTAAATTGAATTTCAAGAGTATTGCTCGTGAAACAAGGCATGATTCAATCCTTTCAAAGGTGTGCGAAGCCATTAAAATTGGATCGCTACAAAAATTAAACAAGGCTGAATTCTCAAATTTCATAAATAAAGCAAATGAGCTAACAGTTGAGTACGATTGTATCTTATGGGGTCATCGTGTAATAGTTCCAACAAAACTTAGGAATCAAGTTTTACAAGAGTTCCACAAATCTCATTTAGGAATGGTGAAAACAAAAATGTTAGCACGCTCATACGTATGGTGGCCAAATATGGATTTAGAAATTGAAAATTTAATAAGAGAATGTATCGCATGTCAGGAATCACAACCAAGTCCAGAAAAGTCTACTTTGATACCGTGGAAATCAAATGGTCAGGTATGGAGTAGAATACACGTAGATTTTGCAGGACCAATAAATAATTTTTATTTATTGATATGTGTAGATTCTTTCTCTAAATGGGTAGAAGTTTTTAAAACAAAGGAAATTACGTCATCGTTTACAATAAAAACCTTAAGAGAATTATTTTGTAGATATGGTCTAGTTGATGTATTAGTGTCTG